TGGGGAGAAGGCAGCTGTGGTCAGCCAGGTCCTCTTCACAGGAAGACTTTGCCTGTGAGCTGCTCCAGCCAGCACCATCCAGCACAACCCTTCCCTCCTGGGGCTGGCCTTTGTTTTGGGTTTTACGTGTGCTTTTTCCTGTTGCCGAATAATGGGTTTTCCATCCCACACCATGGCCCCGTTTGGTCTTTTCATCGGTCCATGTGACCAAGCAGCCTTTTATGTGCATATACCAGTAAGGAGCAGAGCGGAGATAGGACAGACCGGGCAGGTCCTGCTTCTTGCTGCGACCTGCATGCGGTTGCTTTCTCCATTACCACTTTTGTTTCTCCACGGGTCTTGCGGTGCAATCCCAACCTTGGTCGTGGCCAGGGTCTGTAATTACAAGGTGCATCTTGAGAGATGAGGATTTTCCTAACAGCAACAAATATGCAGAAGTAGCTGAGACTGACGGGGTGGGTGAGCAGCAGGTGTCTGTGTGTCTTCAGGGACTCTCCTTCCCACCCTGATGGGTAGAGCAGGGTGTCCTGAGGATGTATCAGGTGTCCTGAGGATGCATTAACAAGTGTGTGAGCGGGTCTGGCAGCTGGGGAGGAACCAGGGGTGGATTTGTGAGCAAAGCACCGTTCCTTTTCCAGGCTGAAGCTGAATGAAAAGGTGTCGCTGGAGAAAATAAAATTTCACTGCATGGATCATGACGGCGGGTCCATTTTTGTGTCGCCTGTGGACAAGGAGATCTTGCAGGCCCAAAAGAAGGTAGGAAGGAACGGAGGTTGGCTCTCACTGGGGTGAGCCTGGAGATAAAACCTGGGGAGACCAGTCCGAGGAGTCCCTTGGAGGCGAGGTGAGCTGCTCTGTGTGTGGCTCCTGCAGGGGCTGGTGGGATGGAGGGCTGCAGGCTGCAGCACTGCGGAGGCAGCCTTGAGTCCCAGTCCTGTGCTTCCAGTGGAAAAAAAGTGGAAAGATCTTTTTCTTCTTCTGTGTTAAAGAAGAAACAAGGGGAAAATCTTGTGAGTGGCTGCCAATGCCCTTGCCAGCAGCACCTGTTTGTTGGAGTGCACCGGGGTGTCCAAAGTTTTTTGGCCCAATCTCCATTGCAATAGCTGTATTTTGCTTTCTTAACATCTCTTGTCCATGTTATGGAGACCTTCTGGGGGCACATCACACAGCGAAGGGATAGCTGTGTGTTTGCGGTCTTCCCAGGGTTGCTGCCTGGCATTTAGTCAAGCAAAGGAAATTTTTTTGTTTTTCAATGAAGTATTCTGTGCTGCTCTTGGTGCTTTTCTGGAGCATCACTGGGAGTGGCGTGGAGGGCTGTTTGGGGAGCTCCAAGGTTGTTATCGGATGGAGGAGGTCCCACTGCTCAGGGCGGAGGGGAGCGGGCAGGAGCTGCAGGATTTCCTGCCTGGCAGGAAAGAGAAGCTGCTCCTGGGCTCTCTCCTGTCCCTAGTTTCCACGGACTAACTGCAGCATATCACATCCTCATGGAAACAAACCCTTCCTGCTCTTCCCCTTAGGTGGTGGAACACCTCGAAGGCAAGCTGGGGGTCCAAGTTCGGCGTGTGGCAATCCACAAGATGAAGTATTCTTTCCAGATCTGGTCAGCCATGATGTCGTCCAAGGACAGCGATGGGCAGGTGTGTCAGACCAAGCTGGCAAAGGCACAAATTCGGCAGCAGCAGGGAAGAATCGGCTGTTTGGGGCCAGCCACAGAGAGCTGTAGGCTTCCCAGACCTGCCTGGGGGCTTTCTCTACTCCGTTTGTCCCCCCAGTCCTCCTTTCATCTCTTTCCAAAGCTACACAGCCCCTTCTCCCTTGCTTTCCCATGAGATGACAATGTGGCTCACAGCTGAGGAGCAACATGGTTTAGGGAGGGAGAGGCCATTTTAGCATGTTGACGTTTTCTGTGCAAGTTGGTAAGTCAGCCAAGCAAGTAGCGTCCTGCCTCGCTCTTACCTCCCGTACTGTGTCTCCTGGCGTTGTAAGTTGGGATTAATGCCCATTAGGATGCCAGGACTGAGGCAGTGGATTAGCAGCTTTTCAGCAGCAGGCCTGCATGTGTTATTTTTTCCTTGAATTGTAGCCACTGCGCCATGCTCTGTGCATGCACAGAAGTATTTTGTAGCAAAAATAAACTCTCAGGAATATTATACCTCGTGCATTCTGCCACACAGGCAGCAGTGAAAAATAAACCAACCCCACCTTGCTAAGGAGGATATGCCTGGCCACCTCTGCCTCCTTTTTCCTGATCCCACAGCCATATAACAGCAGTAAATGCCTCCAGGAGTCATTATCCAGAGCATCATCCCTTGCATCTTGTCAGAGGAGGGGTACTGAAAGATGCTGCTTTGGAGGGCTCTCCCTCTGCAGAGTGAGGTCCCCTTGCTGTCTCTGGCAGGGAGAGATGCTCCTGCTGCTGCTCTGGATCTGTGCTAGAGCTGTGTAACACTCCTGATGGGCATCTCTTGTCTGAAAATGGGAACAGCTTGTGTTGGGATAATTGAGCAGCCAGAGATTTTGCTGTTGTTTGTCAGCCTGTTCTTCCTCATCGCGCACTAGCTGACGGTGCTGATGGAGGGAGCGTGTGTGTGTGTGTTACAGGAGGCACAGCTATTCACGGACCTGCTGGGGGATCATGGGAAGCCGGTGTGGCCGCTGTGGGAGCTGATGAAGTGGCTCATAGGGATGTCTTCCCACACTCTCCCAGCTATCGGTAAGGCCAGGAGGAGCCCCGAGGTGTGCGGAGGTGGTGGTGGAGCGGGCAAGTTGTTAAATGAAAATAGTGCCCTTCCAGTGCCCCGTGAAGGGACTCCAGAGTTTGCACAGAGCAAGCTTCAGGCTAGTTTTTTGTAATGACACTCAGTATCTTCAAGTCAAACGCATGCTCAAGGGGGAGTTGGCTGGATCTTTGATAACTGGGATTGGATATCCTGGGAGAAGAAGTGAGGACAATGGAGCTGCAGGCAGGGTTTGCTCCTGCTGTGAGCCCTGGCCAGAACTGCTGGGGCTTAGAGAGAGCCAGTCAGGGGTCTGCACCTATCTCATTTCTTAGCAGCAGATACCAGAGAACCCTAATTAGTGCTGTCATGCTGCTGTCTGATGAGTGCTGAGGTCGTTCCGCCAGCTCTGCTCAATGCCAGTGGCTGGAAAAACTCCTTGAAATGATGGGCAGGCTGAAAGCCTTTCCCTTGGCAAAGCTGGGGAGATACTGCCTGCAGAGCCATGCCACGTGCAGGGGACAATCCACTCCGGGAGCCGGTGTGCCAGCAGGGAGGGGGACTTGGGGTCCCCACTAGGAGCTGGGGGATGCTGCGTGTGGCCGGGCAATGCACTTTCTAGCCTGCTTAACCCACGGTCCTCTTGCTCGCTCTCTATTTCTGTTTGTGCCCTTGGCCTGCAGCTCTGGGGCTGACGGAGAAGCTGATGAAACTCAACCCTGGTGGGAATGCCAAGCTAGTGAGCATGGGGAAGAGCCTGCAGGAGGAGATGGAGGCCCTGCTGGGGCCGGATGGGGTGCTCCTCTACCCCTCCCACCCCACCATAGCTCCCAGGCACCACTCCCCCATATGCATGCCCTTCAACTTTGCCTACACAGGTGAGCAACTCTGACTTCTCTGCCGGGGTACAGGCAGGGGTCACAGGCATGCCCTCTCTTGCTGCAGCAGTGCAGGCTGGGAGCCAGGATATTTTACCCAGAGTATTTCCATCACTGACAGTGGGCTTTGCAGCGCAGAGGGGTGTCTCGCTGCTCCAGAACATGGGACAAGGATTATGGTCATGCTTTAAAACTGGCATTTGTACCTGCTGTCTGCAGCGGGGCAGGTTTGATCTTGCGGAGGGGATGGGGGGGCACCCTGCCCCAGAGGGATGCGCTCACGCTGTTACAGCTGGCATTGTGGTTTAGCAGGCACCCGAGAGCTGCTGCGTCACTTGGGGTACAGTTTGGGGCTCTCCCACGGCTTGAGCTCCTTGATGCCAGTGCCACGTTGCGATGCCTATCTGGCTTTGGACTAGTGGAGGGATGGTGTCTGGGGCAGGAATGTCCCAAAGCAGATCTTGGCACGCCACAGCAAGTGCCACATAAGTGTGTCATCATGGGTGCAATTTGCACATGTCATGTGGGTGCTGGGAACCTCTGGCCAGCAATGTCCCCTTGTTGTCATGTCTCTGCACTGCCTGCCTTGACTGCACCGCTCTGGCAAGGACCAGCTCCCAGGAGCCCGGTGCCATGCCTGGTGGCAGCTACCTACCTGGTGTGGGAGAGCCAGGCAGTGATTTATCCCGGTTGCTGTGCTTGCTCTGATGCAACCTTCTCTCTTCCAGCTATCTTCAACGTCCTGGGCTTGCCAGTGACGCAGTGCCCGCTGGGCCTGAGCAGCGAGGGCCTGCCGCTGGGCATCCAGCTAGTGGCAGCCTCCTACAACGACCACCTGACGCTGGCGGTGGCCCGGTATCTGGAGCAGGCCTTTGGAGGGTGGATTTTACCTGGGAAAGTTTAGCCTGGGCTCCTGGCACTGCGGGGAGGCAGGGACGGGAGGCGGTGGTGCCCAGTGAGGCACCACCTTAAATCTTTAAGTCCCATCATGGCACTACTTGCTCCCTCCACACCCCACCTTACGCCATCCTGGGAGCAGCCGGCGGTGCCCCCAACCCCTGGGGAAGCCAGGCTGTTGCCGCTGGAGTCATCTCCTCCCTGCAGCACCCTCTGCCAGGGGAGAGACCTGCCCTCCCTGTGGCCCCTTGGGAGCCCCGGTGCTGTGGGCTGGCAGCAGGCTGCCTGCATCCCGCCTGTGGCAGGCACCTATCTTCTCCTGGGCATGGATATGGCCGCCCTCTCTGCTTTGAAGACGCTGGGTGAAGGCTGGGGAGAGGAGGTGCTGCCAGACTGCTCGGGGACAACTGCCCAGCACCACCCTCAGGGCCCCCTGGGTGCATCCATCCTCCTTGGCCTTACTCTGCCCGCGGGGCTGGGACTGCACCTGCTGCACCGCAGGCTTGCCAGCCCCTGCAGCCTCCCTGAGCTGCCATGGGGTTTTCCCCCACCCTCTAACTGAAAAGGGAGAGGGGCTGAGGGAGAGGAGCTGGTAGGCTCCTGGTACGGTGCTGGAGGCAGCCGTACACTCATCTCACTGGCAGTGCTTTGTGGGATGGATGGTGCTGGGCTCTGCCCGGTGCAGAGCTGGTGGGCAAGGAAGAAGGAGCTTTTGCTCTTGTGAGCTTTTGACAGCACTGAAAGACCTCTTTAAATGCTCCTCTCCATTTGCTGAGACAGCTAAAGCATGTCGTGCCTCTGTCTTCTTCCCCTTCTGCCCCGGGGGGATCACCCAGCCTGATTGGCGTTCCCTGCCACCTGCCCTCCCGAGCTGCCCAGCCTCTCTGCCCCCATGAGCAGACACAGGCAGAAACATGGGCAGCTGGCTGTTCCTGGGGCGGGCAACAAGCATAAGATGTTCTCAGTGAGGATGGTATTAAAAAGAGTCTGTCCAGTTTGCTGCCAGCTGTGTGTCCTTGTTCCCGGCAGCTGTTGGACCAGTTCTGTCTCCACTCGTGCTGTGGGATGCATGGAGGCTGCTGAACACTGCCCCCCGGTTGTGGGCGCAGTGCAGGGACAGCAGTGAAGGTGCTGGTGTCTGCCCCAAGGTTGGAACTCGGCCGCTGCTGGGCTCTTTAAAATGCCTGGACTTGCAGTGTCTGCTCGGCTCCTGGCAGAGCTGAAGGGTGCCGGCGAGCTCTGGCGGTGCCGTGGTCAATGGCTCTGTTAGCCTTGTAGTGGTTGCACAGCGTTACGCTCTCAGAAAGTATAAGCTCTGCTGCTTTCTCTCCCCGATGGGCTACCAAAGGCTTGGGGCTCGTAGGGCGATGCTGAGCCATGTGCAGGTTCCTTGGGGTCTCTAGGGCTAAGCAGAGTGCGGGGTCCCAGGTCTGCACACCCAGCCTGCAGCGCTGATGTTGGCAAGGAAACAACCTCCCCCCAGCACTGGCTTTGCGGGGACGTCCTGGCTTGTGTCTCCTGCCACGTGTTGCCCTTGGTCCTTGCCTGATCCATGTGCTGCTGTCTTCTGTCCCCAAGCCATCAATGGTCCCTGCAAGGGGGAACATGGGCACTGGATGCTAAGGCTGGGTGCAGCCAGGGTGCTGGGGGCAAGCTGCATCTTGCCACTCGCTTGCAGGGGGCACTGCTGAGCCGGCCAAGGGCTGCCAGCCTGGGGAGCCTGCAGCCAGATGAGACACTGTCAACAAGGAAGGAAGAAAGAAAAGAAACCCTGACGCAGGAAAAAGGGCATGAACTACCAAAGCCAAATCACGTGCCATGCCATGGGACGTCTCCCACAGCCTCCCAGTGTGATGGCACAGAGGACATGGGCCTGTCCCCCGTCCGGAGGGAGCCTGGGAGCTGGACAGACCCTGACGATGCTTCCAGCGATCACTCTCGGAGCCTAAGAGGGGATTGCTGAGCTGAAGACGGTTGTGTTTAGCAGAGCGTTGTGGGCGTGGACGGTGCCACTGTGTTTGCTCCAGCGGGTTCCTGTTACCGCAGGGACCAGATGAGCAACTGCGTGGCCCAAGGTAGGGGGGATCGCTGATGCTTCAGGGCAATGGGGGATGCGGGCGGAGGAGGGGGGGTTACATCTCTGTGGTCTCAACCGACGGGGAAACCACAACATGGGGAGGGGTGCTGGGTTTTTCCCTCTGGCCAAGGCGGACAGGGACCAGGTGTGCTGGGGTTAGCAGGGAGCTGGCAGGGACCAACCTGCAGCCACCCTCACTGCTGTGAAAGTGCTGGCCCCCAGCATGCTGCCTCCTCCTGGGGCAGGAGCCGCTGTCCCTGCCCGCACAGGCAGCTGGGTCCTGGGGTCTCCCCGGGGAGCTGACTTGTGCTCTGCACCTCCACAAGTCCCAGGAACAGTCCCAGGGGCCCCTTCTTCCTCCAGGGAGAAACAACTGCTGCCTTTGCCGGGGGCCTGCTGCAAAGCCGGGAGCGCTCATGCTAGTGTCAGGGCAGGGGGAAACCGTAAACCCACTGCCTGCGCTTCGGCTCTGGCATTTCGGAGGTCTTGTCTCGGGGCTAGCAGCCCTTGCCCATGGTTTGCAGCTGCCCATCCCCACTTGCTGGCTGCTCCTCCTTGTTTCCAACTCTGAATGCTTGCAAGGGGTGGAAAACATGGGGAAAGCATTTTATACACACCTGCCAAGGTGGTTGCGCTCATAATGTTAATGCAGAGTCAGTATAAAATGGGAAGAGCAAGAGGCAACAGGTGGGAGTAAGCCAGCCCTACGGATGTCCAGTCTGGCCAGGGAGATGCTCACACCCATCTGCCTCTGGAGGTGGCCCCAGGCTCCCCGCCTTTGCTGGGGGACACGTCCCCACAACTGGGAGGCTGGCATCGGTGGCCTCAAAGCCCTTGCACATCTCTCCCCAGAGAGCAAGGTTACCTTCATAGCCGGAAAAAGCAGGGGAAAAAAAATTCCCCAGGAGCTGAGTGCTGGGGCAAGGCCAAGGTAAGGAGCTACTGGCCAGGTTTCGGAGAGAGGGAGGAGGAAGTGGGGCAGCGTCCCCCCAGGGCTGTGCAGGGCTGTGACGCAGGTGCCTGGCAGGACCAGCCTCCGCTGTGGCTCACACGGACTGAGGTCTCTACTCAGGGCACAGCACCCCAAGGGGGTGCCTTGGGGTGCCCCGTTTCAACTGGCCAGGTGCCAGCATGCATGGCACCCTCCCCATCCCACGGAGGCTGCAGGAGGGCTGGGAGTGTCGGCGGGCAGCAGTATCACCGGTTGCGCCAGTGTGAGTCATGCCTGGAGCAAGGCTGAGTCACCACCAGAACGGTGTGAGCATCAGCCTGGGAGCTTTCTCAGACCCACGTCCCAGTGACACCGGCAGCGTGACTTCTTGCTGCCTTTAGGGAGGGACCAAACGCCACGGGGAACCAGCTAGAGGTGGGTACAGCAGAAGGTCCCTGCAGCACATGCACAGTGCTGTGGCAGAGCGTGGCAGCTGCCCGCTGTCCCCGGCGGCCTGCTTGCCACCGCAGCTCTGAGGGCACCTGCCCTACTGCTGCTTTACCCCATCCTGGAAGGCAGCAGGGGGTCTCCCACCACTCTGCAGCAGGCACCTCCATGCCACGGCTGGGCACGCAACCTCTGTGTGCAAGGCATGCCTGCAGCAGGTGTTGCTGGCCACAGCTTTGGTAAAAAGAGTATTTTCTCTAATCCCAGGTTCCGGCTGCCCGTTGTGTTTGTGGGTGGCAGAACAGCTCCAGCACGCCCATCCTTTCGCCATGGCACCCAGCGTGACAGCGTAGTGCTGGGAGCAGATAGACAGGGTGCATCGGGATGAGCCCTGCCCTGAGCCTGCTTCTGTCCCTGGCCAGCTGCACCCTGCTCCAGGGTAAGTCTGGCTCCGGAGCTGCCGCGGCAGACTCGGGGGGGTGGCCCTGGCTGCAGTGGGGGGAGAAGCACGGGGATAACTCTCAGACCTACAGAAGGTACCTGCAGGGAGGAGGAGACCAAGTGGTCTTCAAGGTGTGATGGGAAAGAAAACCCCAGGGTCACCAGCAACCACGTTAGGGTGTTGGTGCCTTTCGTGCAGATAGGGTGCTTCAGGATGTGCAAGAGATTCATGGGATGTGGATGCTGAGCGCCATGCTGGCAGCCAGCGCTTGCCTGAGCCTGGCAGGGAGTCAGTGTTTGCCTATGCGGGACTGAAGCTGGGGGTTGTGGAGCGGGGGGAGGCCCCATGATACCTATGCAAACTGGGGAGACCTGTGCAGCATGGCCAAGCAGTGAGTGGCCAAGGAGCGGGCCCCTGCAGAACAGAGTGATACTGCCTGACCCTCCTCTGCTTCCCACCCCTCCTCAGGCACGCCGTTGCCTCCGCAGAATGTGAGGCTGGAGGCACAAAACTTTCACGTCCGCCTGCGGTGGGAGCCGGACCCTGGCTCACCCAGCAGTGACTCATACCAGGTGGAGTGGAGGACACGGTAGGTGGGGCGGCAGGGAGGAGGGGGCAGAGGTGCCTCGTCCCCCCTGCACCCTGGCTGTTGGGGACCCCCAGTAGCCAGAGGGTCATTATCTGGCAGTAAATATCATAGAGTAACAGAATAGTGGAGCTGGCAGGGAACTCTGGAGATCAGCTCATCCAACCCCTGCTCAGGCAGCTGAGCCAGGTCAGCTCAGGACTGTGTCCTGTTGGGTTTTGACCGCCTTTTAGGGATGGAGACTCCACAGCCTGCCTGGGCAACCTGTTCCCTTTCCTGATCACACTCCCAGTAAAAAAAAGAAAAAAGGCGGTTGCTTTTGGGTTTTGGGGTTTTTTTTTCCTTATGCTTAAATGGAATTTCCTGTATTTCAGCCTGTGCCTGCTGCCTCTTGTCCTTTCATTGGGCACCGCTGAGAAGAAGTTTCCATCTTCTTTACTCCATCACGTTGATAAGACCCCCCACCCTAAGCCACCTTCTTTTGAGGCTAAGCAGTCCCCAGTCACTCAGCCTCCCTCATACCACAGAGGCCTCAACCCCTTGGTCATCTTTTTGGCCCTTCAGTGGGCTCTCTCTGGCATGGACGTGTTTTTTCTTGTAGCGGAGAGCACAGGTCAGGGCACGGCACTCCAGGTGCCATCCCACCAGTGCCGATGAGAGGGGACTTGACTTGCTGGCAATACTCTTCCTAATGCAGCCCAGGATGCTGTTGGCCGATATCTGTGCTCTCCCACACTTTCCACTCAGACAGGGTGGCGATAGCTAGGCAGCCTTCCTTTTTGGCTAGGAAGGTGCCAAAAAGGAGAAAACCCTGCATTTTCTCTATGGGCAGAACCTCTCACTGGACCAAGGCAGATGCCTGCTGGGGGAACAGCACTGGCTCCTCCTCGGTGTGTGAGCTGTATTTTGACAAGATCCACGATATCTACTGGGCAAGGGTGAGAGCGGTGGCCGGAGGCGAGCTGTCCGAGTGGGCCTATTCCAGCGAGCTGCAGCCATACAGAGACAGTAAGGACCAGGGAGCTCCTTCAGCCAGGCTCCTGCTCTTCCCGGGGGGCCGAGGGGGAGAGGGGTCCTTGGAGAGGTCTGGTGGGATACGGTGGGAAGTCTCATGAAGATACTGGTAGGAAAAGTGCCAAAAGCCCCGACCGGAGGAAAGGGATGTGAGCAGACCTACTGGAGAAGGGCTGGGTGAAGAGCAAGGGGACAGAGGAGGAGACACAATGAGGTAAGGACCATGGATGGGAGGCCCCAGGCCACCACAGCACTGTGAGAATTTGGGTATCTGGGGAACGCAGCGAGATGGGGTAGGAAAGAGGATACCCCTCCAGGCTTGCCTTTTAAAAGCATCCCCTGTTCATCCCTGCTGTGGGTCTGGGAGATGCTGGGTGAGGACATTCTTGTTCCAGCAAGGTAAAGCTGGCACAGGCTGGTGAAAGCAGGAGTAGCCCCTCCAGTATTGCCTTTGCCCTGGCTGCTGTGTTTGCGAGGTGCGGGCACGTGCCTATTCTCAGTCATAGACTGGCTGTCCTGTCCAAAAAGCCTAGCTGTCTTTTAGAAGAAGGAAAAACTTCAGGACCTTCCCCTAACCCACCTCATAGGGGGTTGTCGCAATGAACTGAATGTGCAAGCGGCTACAATGGGATGTACATTGGCTGTTTGGGTTCCCTTTTTCATTCTCTCTGCATCCAGCTGGCATGGAAATAGATGCACTTAGCTAAAAGAGCAATTGCTGCACTCTGCAGCAAGCCTCTAGACCATCATCTGATGGCTCAGAGATGAAGTGCTCAGCAGCAGGGAGCCGGAGGTGCTAGCAGGTCTGTCCTGGCCTGTGTTGGTGTGACTGGAGGAGGCAGAAGCAGCGCTGGCCGTCACAAAGATGCAGTAGCTGCTGTTTCTAGAGCTGGTTTCATAGCGCAAAGTGCCATCAGGCTAGACCTGAGGAAGTTTCTGTGTGCTGGGAGTGGGATGTCCAACAGAAAAACATCATTTCTAGAGAACCAAAATGCCTGCCTTCTGTTTTGAAGGCCTTAATTTTCCTCCTCCTTTTTTTTTTCCCTCCCTACAGCAATTGTGGGCCCCCCCAGGTTGTCCTGGCTGCTCCAGGGTCACATCCTCAGCATAAATATCATCATGCCACTCACTCCCTACCGAAGCAAAACTGGCTCTTACAAGCCGGTCGACCAAGTGCTGCTGAAGCTGTGGTACTGGCTGAGTCTGTACGAAGGGGACGTGCTTGTCCAGCAAGTACGTGGCGGGGTGGGCAAGGCTCAGAGGGCACAGGACTTGTAGAAGCTTTCCTGGTGCAGCAAAGATGCCCGTGTCCGGTTGCATTGGTGTGGTAGTGCCTGTGGCCGTAGAGCTGCCCAGACCCAACAGTGCAAGCGGGCATGAGATGCTTTGCATTCCTAATTTGGGGCTTGCAACCTGGGGGTGGCAGGAGATCCCTTTCCTCTTCTAGACTGCATGAATAAGAAAAACCTGTAATAATTTCTGTTCAGATGAAAGCATGCAGTAGGTGTTTAATGAGATGCTCTGGGACCTGAACGCCTCCTGGGGTGAAGAAACAAGTGCTGGGGAGCAGGGAGGGAGGGTCTGTGCTCCACACCATGGGGCAAGTAGGGTGTCGAGGCTGCGCTGGTGAGTGGAGCAGTGCACAGACCCCACCTCCAGCCACCTTGGCCACACGTCCCCTCTGCTTCCAGGTGTCCTGCAAACGGAGTGGGGAGGAAGCACCATGCACCTTCTGGTACCTGAAGCCCAGCACGCAGTACTGCATCCGGACAGCAGCTGTGGGCATGGCCAGGGAGCAGAGTTGGGAGGCCGAGCAGTGCATGGTGACACCGGCAGGGCCCACAGGTGGGAGCTCTCTCACCAGTTCAGCTGCTGCAGTTGCATCTCAGGTCCTGCTTGCAGCATGGACACATGTGGAGGTGCGGGTCACTCACCACCCAGCCATTCTGGTCAGGGTTGGTGGCCCAGTAACGCCCTGTGGGGACCTTTCTCGGGGAGATGCTCTCTCACCATCCGCCTTGGGCTTGCCCTGCATCTCCTCCTTGAACACCTCAGCCTGCTGCGGGGGCTCTGGGGAAGCACTGGCGTAGGGTGGGCTGGGGGGGATGCCAACTGGGGTCCTTCCACCCCTCAGCCTGTTGTGACCTCCTGGCAGGCTTTCCCTGGGTCCTCCTTGCTGTGCTGAGTGGCGTCTTCCTGCTGCTGAGCGTGGCCGGGCTCTGCTTCATCAAGCTGCACATCTTCCCCAGCCCCTCGGAGACACACCTCCCGAAAACGCTTGTGAGTGAACAATCCTCCTCCAGTCTCCGCCCTGCATGTGCTGCAGCTGAGCCGGGGTTCCCTGCATTTGCAGGGGGCTCAGCACCTCCTTCCCTCCACCTCTTGCACCATCAAACCCATCTTGGTGCCCAGGTGCCTCCCCCACTGTCCGACCCACTGCACCCCCAGGCCTTGCTGCGTGGGAGAAGATACTGGTGGGATGCATCAATCAGCCATAGGTCACACTGGAGGATGGTGTCTGGGGCAGCACGTAGCCTGCGAGCATGGCCCTCGATGTTAGGAGCCTCCTGCTTTAGGCAGTTGGCTTTTGCTTGGCTGCATGTCCATCTACAACAGCTTGAATGGGAGAAAGAGGGGAAAAGAAGCAAACAGTGGGGCTGCTATCCTGGGACACTCTGGCCTGGCTGAGATGCAGTCCCTCACTGGTCTGCCCTTGGGACAAATGCAGCGCCAAGGCTCAGAGAGGCTCCCAGGGCTGCAGCCCTGCTGAGCTGATCCAAAACATGTCCAAAACAGTCACCAGGACAGTCTTTCTCCCCGAGTGCCAGTTCCCCCTGCATCCCAGTTTCCCAATGCTGGGAGTGGCAGCAGCCTGGGCTGAGCAGCCCTTTGAGCACTCTGGGGGCAAAACCAACTTGCTAAGCTAAAGAAGTCCCCTATGCCAGTGTGGAGAGGAGGTGGCAGGCTGCTCCGCTTGCCCTGGCCCAGCTCAGTGCCAGCGCCCTTTGCTTTGCTATTCTTCTTGGCTTCTGCGTGGGGATTGCTTGCGTCTCTGAGCAGGTGAGAGCTCTTCCATCAGCCTCTGACAGCTGGGGCATAGCTTGAAAAGCAGCAGCGCAATAGCTGCTGTGACTGTCCCCCAGCACCAGACCCCCCATGCTGTAGTGAGCAGAGCCCTGCCTGTGTTTCTCCTGCGTATGAGCATGGCAGACGGGCTGTACAGGACCATTCCCTTCCCTGGGGTGCGTGGTTGATCATCCCCAGGCTGGAGGAGGTTTCAGCAAGCTGAGGCTGACCACTTCACTACTTGTTTCCCTGCAGGCTCTCCTGAACGGGGAGCTGAGTGTGACCATCAGGGTGCCCACCCTTGAGCTCAAGGAGGACTCGCTTGCCCTGCTCCTGCCGACCATTCTCCCCTCCCACGGGCCACCTGCAGCTGAGCAGACAACACCTGCAGTCCAGCTGCTCCTCAGAGAAAGCCTTTCCCAGGACATGAGTGGCTACTGTGCCAACGGGTTTGGGCCAGACTGCCACGAGGGAAGGGACCCACCCTGCACCCACAGCCAGCTGGGGCATGCCTTGGGCTCCTGGGTCTCATCGCAGCTGGAGGAGGTTGGGGAGGTGCATGATGGGGATGATGTGCTGGAGCAGCTGGTGCCAGTGGGACTGACTAGAGACAGCTACTCAGGTGACGGGGACTACCGGACATCCGAGACATGGCTCTCCCTGCACCTCCAGCTTTATTCTAAATGCCAGTGCCCAGCCCTAGGAGCAGGCAGCTGCCTTCCTCTGCCCACACCGGGCAGGAGCTTCAGCCAGGAAGAAGACGACCTGCGGGAGAGCCTTGGCATGGCAGGGCACTGGGTACCGCTCAGCTCTGTGAAGCTGCCAGCTAGCGAGGAGAAGGATGGAAGGCAGCTCATGCATGATCTCCAGCCCCTGCATGGCCGTGGGACTGAGCCAGAGCTGGGTGACAGCACCATTCAGCAGGGTGACTTGGAGCAGGCAGCATTGGGCATCCCCCTCCCCAGCCCCTGCCAGCTGCCCCAATTGCCCCCTGACATCCTGCAGGCAGCTGCCTTCTCTGGCTATGAGCTGCGTCCCCCAGCTGACGGTGAGCCATAACAGGCAGGCGAGGGCATGCCGGGAGCTCCCGGGACCCAGATCACAGCATCAAGCAGAGCTCAAGGTGCTGCCCAGAGCTGCCCCAGCCACAATGGCTGCCTGCTCGGACCTGCCTGTGCCTTGCTGGGGACAGGACTGGGGCAGGCTCCCATTGGGACAGGCACAGGCACACTCCAGCCACGGCTGCCATGGATGGTTAGACATGTATCTTCAGAGCTTCCCTTTGTGGCTTTGGTGCTCTTGAACCAAAGCATAAGGAATACATACCCAAGTTGAAGCCCCAAAACTTTTATCTTTTTATCCATCTACATGTGTGTATATGTGTGTGTACAGTATATATACTAATGCAAATTTATGTATATACTCATATATATAAAAACCTCTTTAATGAAAGAGGAGATTTTTTATTTTTTTTTACTTGTCTGGAAATACTGATTGTGCGCTGGAGCTGTTTTTAAAATAACACTAATTTATTATGGAAAACTGGCTTCTGTGCTTATTCTTTCTGTGTTACAGAACCAATGCTGCCCTGCCTGAGCAGCATCTGGGAAAGGCGCTAGGAAAACTTGGGGTTTCCCTGGGAGAAAATTGCACCCGCAGCTGGTCTGTGTGTTGCTGTCATGTGGGAAAATGTTGGTTCTTCAGCAGCTGCTGGATAGTTTTACTATTCCTTCTACCACCACTGGGACAATTTACTTCTGAGGAGCCCTGCCCTGCGGTTGTCTATCTGGGATGTGTTTATGAGGCTGTGCCTGTAGCCATGGAGGCAAGGGGAAACCCTCTCCCCTAGTGCTTTGCAGTAGGCTGGGATTGGTGGATTCCAGCTCTGGGGGACAAATCCAGGCTCCTGGACTGGCAAGATTTAAGCCAGATTTGGGAACAGGTGAGAAATTGGTGTCCAGCATCCAGGCATCTGGTGGAGGGGACAGAAGGGACAGCACTGCCAGTCTTGGGGAGCCTTTTGGGTAAAGCAGGGCTGCACAGCACCACTTTCCAACCCCATGAGTCATCCCTGACACCCCAGCCGTGCAACCTCCCAGAGGTGACTCTGCCCTCCCTCTGCCAGGCTGCCAACATTCCTCTTCCCCTGCCACCATGGCTGACTCAGCTGGACACCTGCAGCAACACCGGCCACAGCTTTCTGGCAGCTGAGTGGGGCTGTGGGGCAGCCCCATTTGAGTGCTCCCGAACCAGGGCAAAGAATTGTCCTCTTCTCAGGCAGCAATGCTGCTGGGACAGCTTTGTCTCTGCTTCAAAGCAGGCAGCTGTGCTTTGTGCATCTCATTAGCAAAATCTCTCTTAGTGATGATGTGAGGATATGTGGTGTATTAAATAGATTGAGCTGAATTTTAAAAAAAAGGAGAGAGATGGTCCCAAGAGCTGCTCAGAGGAATACACGTTACCCACACGCTGTTTGCTGCCAAGAAAGTTCCTCTCAAGCTCAGCTGAAACAAGAGTTTGATTTTCTTTAATTTGTTTCACTTTCTTTTTTTGATAAGATGAAAATTTGGGCCACAGGTATCTGCCATCATTTTGGGTCACATGAAATGGCCTTTTTAATTTTCAGGTGTTTAGAAAGCAAACAAAAAGCCAAGCCAGAAGAATTCCCCCATGCTAAAATCAGGCAGACTTCAGAGGAGTTGAGGTTTTGCGGCAAACACAGGAGCCAAAACATTGCAATCCATAAATCCTGAAGCAAAATGTTCCATGCTGACCTTCCCTCCCACCATCCCAATTCTTATTTTTTTTAACTTGAAGCTTTTTGAGGCATTTGATCTATAGTTGTGACTGCTCTGCCAAAGCTCACGGAGCCAAAACCATGTATCTGCTTTTCCTCCTCTGTGGCCCCACAGCCACGCCATCCTTCTAGCGGATGAACAGGAACCTCATGGTGATTGATCTCCTTCACAAGTGCCTGAGATGTGTGTCCTGCTTCTGTTTCAAGACCTCTGGGAGTGGAGACCCTGCTCTTTCCCCGCAAATGGCTGGTTTTCTCCACTAACGGTTTCCCCAAGGACAGATCACACTTCTCCATGTTGTGATTTCCTGTCCTATTCCCCAGGGAACAGCTTATTCCCTTTCTCTCCACAGCTCTCTGCATCTTCCTTTGGTCTCTCTTCTAGCCTAACCTCTTGATCCTGTTGGTCTGGTCTCATAAACGATGTTCATTATGCTCTGTGTTGGACCGCTGAGCTCTTTCAGAGCTGGACCACTGCGTTTCCTTTGGCCACACGTGTGCCCACGCAACGGTCTCAGCAACGTGAGCATTTGCAGCTGGTCAGTATCGCAGCTGCAGCCTGGGATAAGCCCTAAAAACCACTTTACATCTGTACCAGGGAGCACGCATCTGTGCATCATTCACCTGGAGATGGGTAATGCCAAGCTGTCTTCTCACGGGTGGTGTTCGGTAGATGCAGACTTTCACTGCAAGCTGAGGTTTGGAGCAGTGCGGTGCTGCAGCTGTGCAGAAAGGCAGGCATGTTCTTACTGCCAGGATGCTGGTTGCAGGCAGCAAGCTCAGTAAAAGCAGTGCCATGTCCCCACACAGCAGGTCAAGGTTAGAAGGGAACCTTGGGAGCAATCTCCTCCTGCTTAGAGTAGGGTCAGCAACCTGAAGCCAGATGAGGTTGATCAGGTCTTTTCCAGTCTGGCCTTGAAAATTTCTGAAGGTGTAGACCACACAACTCTGAGCATCCCGCAGCAGTCTTGGACTGCCCTTGGTGATGAGAGTGTTTGGCCAGCAAGACAAGGAGGTTGGGGCCATTGTCCAGGAGTGAACAGAGGTGACATGCCAAGGGCTTGCTCTTTTCCCATTGTTCATTGTGGCACCTGGTCCATCCCCTTTGTGCTTCATAGTCTCCAATGTGTCTCAAGGTCACAGTCAAAACCCTAGGCGTGTGGAGCCCTGTTTGACTGACTGCCTCATCCCTAGCTGGGCCAATGGGGCCTCCAGCCCTACCACCACTCCTGAAGGTCATTGCGTGGTGACAGGGCATTTGCAAGGAACCATTCAACAGGAGCATCCGTCAAAGCTGCCCTGTTGTTTGTGCCATTAGACTCGGAAGGAGCCGCATCCTGAGCTTGAGGTCCTCCAGGCCAAGCAAAGAGCGTGCATCGTGCCAGTCCAGCCTGTGCTGCACTGGCCGAGACCTGGGCTGTTTGCTGGGAGGCACTAGCCCAGCATGGTGGGACTAAACTGGCTCCCATGGCCACCTTATTGTTGGATGCTGGGCTCATGCCGGGGTGCAGCCAGTGCTTTTATAACAGCCTGCCAGGTCTTTAAAGATCAAAAGAAAAACAGCTCTTTTCTGAGTTTTTGGCAGGGTGATCATGCTGGGATCCCTGTGGGTGATTCAGACGAGTTACTCAGCAGCAGCAGGGACTCACCCCGGCCCAGGGGGTGGTTGAAGCAGCTGAGATGTCCCCATTCTGTATGAAACAGAAGTGTTCATGCAGAGTGGAAAAAGGCAGAAGGCTTGTGACATTTCAAGATGGCATTTTATCATCTGAAGTTTCTGAGTGGATGTGAGATGGGGTTTTTTGCTTCACCTCGGAGGTGCGAGCAGAGTGTGGGGTTCTGCACAGCCACAGCAAGAAGGTGTGATGCTTGCTGCGTGGGTGAGGTCCCAGCATGCCCCAACAGAGACCTGCCACCACCGTGCACAGCTCAGGGTCTGGGTGGAGTGTGTCTGGATTACACCCTGCTCCAGTCTGCCTGGCCAGGCGTTACACATTGAGCAGGATGGGGTCATGCTGGAGGATAGAGCGGGGGCCAGGGGCAGGGGCCCAGCCCCAGCCAAGCCTGTGCAGCAGGATGCCCAGCCAGGTCCCTCCATCACTGCTGCAATGCTCAGGTGTGTGCATGCACCTGGCTCCCACCTTGTGCTCACAGGTATCCCACGCTCCCTCCACAGCCTAGAGATGGGTGAGCCAGTGATGGGTCCTCAGACATCCAGCCCAGCCCCACAGCATCCATCATCTCGGAGGTCGGCCGCTGTTTCTCATGCTGGCCTCAGGCCCAGGGCCACAATGCCATGCCTGGAGGTATTTGGTGCGGAGGTTTGTGAAAGCTCTGACTCACCGTGATCGATAGGCTCGTTCCTGGCTGCTCTCCATGCTGTTGGCGGTGTTTTCAGCTTCTGCCAGTACCAGATCAAAGCAATGAGAGGAATGCAGCTGAAAACAGCTCTTTATTAGAAACAGCAGTTTTAGGACTATGCAAGAGGGTATTTCTTATTACTAATTCTCAGAGAGCTGAGCTGCCAGCCTATAAAAGTATTGGAGAGTGGAAAATTGCTATGCGGGGGCTAATGGGACTTTTGCAGCCGCCACATAGGAAACATAGCAGCTAACAGACACGAGGAAGATGGCAGCTCCTGAAATGACAGGGAAAAATTAAGCTCTAATATTTTGCAGGCTGCCAGAATGAAGGAAGATCCCTATTTCCCTTTGAAAGCCATGGGAGGCAGAGATGCAGAGAGCAGCGTCTTGGGCTGCAGCCCACCCCCTGGATCTGCCGTGGTCCTGTGCCCACCCTGCTCTGCCCACTCTCCATCCTGCCTGTCACTGCAGCTGCCCTGCCAGTGCTCTGGGACAGCCCAGAGCCTCCCCAAATCCTTGCAGCCATCCCAAGCACTGTCCAGCGTGTGCCTCTGTATCTGGCAAGGGACCTGTGACTGTGGGGCCCGAGGCTCGCTGAGCGAGGCCCTGTTATCCAGCCACCCCTGTGCAAGGTGCCTTTGCGATGGCTCTGTAGCTCCAGGCAGGTCCCTGGAGTGGCATGGAGCAGCAGCGTCAGAGCTGTCCTGCTGGACCCCATCCTTCAGCCCAAAAAGGCTTCGTGGTTTCACAGGTCTGAGCTGCAAGGTGACCCAGGCCACTGGTTCCTGCTGGATCTCTCCCCACAGTGCTGGGCCAGCAGATCAGGAGATGGGTGGTCTTAGCTGCTTGGCTTGGCTGGGAAGCCCACCAGGATGTGGGTAGGGACTATGGAAGCCCCA